GAATGCTATGACCAGGACTAGAGGGGCCCTGCCTCCAGCCAGGTGGGGGAAAGGGACAACCAGGTTTACTGGACTGTGTGGATTCGATGGCCTGGCACATCAGAGCCACAGGAGTAGAAGGCTCTAGTGGACACCTGTGCACAGTGTACCCTAATGCCATCAAGCTATAAAGGGGCAGAACCCATCTGTATTTCTGGAGTAACAGGGGGATCCCAAGAGCTGACTGTATTGGAGGCTGAAGTGAGCCTAACCAGGAATGAGTGGCAGAAGCACCCCATTGTGACTGGCCCAGAGGCCCCATGCTTCCTTGGCATAGACTACCTCAGGAGAGGGTATTTCAAGGGCTTTTGGTATAGCTGCCTTGGAGATGGAGGAAATTAAATAGCTGTCTACCCTGCCTGGTCTCTCGAAGGACCCTTCTGTTGTGAGGTTGCTGAGGAACAAAGGACAATGGGTGCCAATCGCTACCACAACAGTGCACCGGCAGCAATATCGCACCAACAGAGACTCCCTGATTCCCATCCATAAGTTGATTCATCGACTGGAGATCCAAGGAGTGATCAGCAACTCTCGCTCACCTTTTAACAGTCCCACATGGCCAGTGCGATAGTCTAATGGAGAGTGGAGACTAACAGTAGACTATCGGGGCCTGAATGAAGTCACGCCACTGCTGAGTGCTGCCTGTGTATGCAAGCAAAGCCAAATAAAGAATTCATTCTCTACTTCCCATTGGCAGGCAGGTGTTAGTCATCTTCAGGAAAGCAGGGCTCCATCACGTGGAACGGTTACTTGGGAAGACAAGTGCCATCACTCCGAACGTCCCCCTTTCCTTCTTCTTCCCTCAGCTTTATATGCTGAGCATGAAGTCATATGGTATGGAATAGCCCTTTGGTCACTTGGGGTCAGCTGTCCCAGCTGTGTCCCCTCTCAACTTCTTGTGCACCTCCAGCCTACTTGCTGGTGGGGTGGTGTGAGAAGCAGAAAAGGCCTTGACTCTGTGTAAGCGCTGCTCAGCAATAACTAAAACATCCCTGTATTATCAACACTGTTTCCAGCACAAATCCAAAACATTGCCTCATACTAACTTCTGTGAAGGAAATTGGCACTATCCCAGCCAAAACCAGCACAAAGTGTAATAATCTTTTGCTTTATAATAGACATAGTTTTATATAGTTTAACACAGTTTTAGTCTATAGTGGATACTTAATATCATTATAGCGTTTTTAAGAAAAATAGTGTAAAGTAAATTAGCTGAAGAATCAGTTCACGTTACAACTATATTTTGTATGCCAAGAATGCTCTACACAGTCTTTGTGGGGTTAATTTTGTCCTCATTCGGGTGCTGTGTTTTCACTGGAGAAATGTTGGATGAACTAAATGTAAAAATGCCACAACATTTGTTTCTTCTGCCTTGTCCACTGTGATGAGAGCCTAATAAATACTGAGACTGATGATATTCCAAAGATTTAGGTGCTTTCATGCCATTAATATATTTTTAGCATACTAAGGGGATGTAAATTTTAGAACTCTTCTGTTTTTTTTCCAGGGCTCCGGATTTAGTTAGCGGATCTGCATAATTTTACCTGTTAATCTGGTAATCTTATTACTGTGATTAACCGTGTAATTGAAAAACATAAAATGAGTAGTCAGCATTGAATGATGTGAATTCCACTTCATCGTAATCCACAGCTTTCTATATTTATTGTTGGGTCATTAATCTTTAAATAAGCAAGTAAATCTACTGTAGAAGGTGGGACTAGTCGCTCACATAAATGTGACAGACATTTAAGTTATATGAATTCTAAGATCAAGTACTCCAAAATTTTAGGATAGTTACTAATTCTGGCCATTTGCAGGACTGAGT